CGTGGAGGGGGCGTTCCGGCGCTTTTGGGCACTTTTGAGCCCTTTGGGCGCTTTTAGGCGTTTTTGAGCGAAGTATGGCCAGGGCCTTACACTTTGACCAAGCTGTTGCAGAGCTAGATCATTTTGAACCTAGTCCTTTCTATAACGTACTGCAGAGAAAACAGCTTTTCCTTGAGCTGTTTTGCTATCTTTACACTCATTTTGACTTTGTCTATTTTGTTTGCGGTAAATGAAACCCATTTGAGCTTTTATGATCTGGAGTTTTCTATGTTGGGGGCTTTAAAGCGCATAATGTGTCTAGTATTATCACATCCCTTATTAGTCTTTCGTGCTAGTTTCTTCCACTGATATGTATTTTTAGCTTTCGCCCAGAGATGCTATGACTCGCACGCTGTTTGCTCACCATACGAAGATGCAGCAACAACAGCAAATGGCAATGCAACATATGAGTAAGCTTTTGGTTTTGACTTTTACATGTTTGCATTTGGCGAGAAGCATTTCGAGAACTGATGCCGTTCGAAGCTGTTCGCCTTGTTATATTCTGTTTTTCTCTCTTGTCGATGTCAAGTAGGCTTTTTTTCTTATAAAAATGGTGTTTTTAGACCAACCATCCATGTTACCTCCCACAACTGTTGAAGAGCAGAAGCCGAAGCCAGCTCGAAAACGACAACGGAAAACGACTGCGAACAACAAGAACAAAAAGGCTAATGCTAGTCCAGCACCGGCAAATGCCGGTTTTCCGTCCAATCCTATGCCTGGCAACGTAAGGATTCTATGTCTAATAACACTCTCCGGCTTTTTTTTTTCATTTAGTTAGACAGTTTTTCATTAGAGGTTTTAGTTTTCGTCGATGGGTTTCCAGGACGTCATGGTGGTAGGGGAGCCATCCATGATGGGAGGAGACTATGGTGAAGAGGACGAGCGAACGATATCGCGAGTTGAGAATGCTCAATACGACCCGAACGCGCTGCAGGTGCCTTTGCAATTCATTTGCACTCTTTTTTGTTATCCCCCACAATATTGGTTTGGTAGTGAATAGATTGGAACTTCCATTGCACTAGCATATCAGTGGTGTGGTCGTATTTTTAGGTTGTATGTATAGTGCAAAAATTTTTGAATGCTGCGTGAACGCCTACATATTGCTATTTTTTGATAACAAAATTTCTGGCCGAATATTTGCACGAAGTCAGAAAAATGTTATTGATAATGGTGTGCATGGTAATCAGCGGGTTGGGAAAGTTGGGACTAACAAGGAAAGGATACTTGGACCGTGGTCATTCATTGTGATTTGCATATAAAAAATACAACTAATGCTGGTTAAGAAACTGGGTTCCATATCTGCGAAACAATAAGCTAAATGAAGTCATAAATATTTTTTCAGAAATGGATTGCGCTATTGCGGAGAGTCAAAATCATCAATAAAAACGTTCATTCCTTTCCTAAATGCTGAATAGGATTTAGATAGTTGTTAACACAAGAGTATTTTGTCTAAGATTCTGTTTAATAGCATCAAACGATAAAATAGAACAAATTTGGGTTTTTGCTGTCCAAAAGTAAGCCAATTTTTTATTAAAAAAGTTCATAATTTTTTTAGAATATTGTTTCGCAGATGTCGAGCACAGATTTATAATCAGCGTTTTGAGATACATCTCACGGTGTACATAGCATTTCGAAAGGTCACGGTCCTCAAGTATCCTTTTCTTGTAACCTTTCCAGTTTATTCATTCGTTATTGGTCAATTTGTGAAGTGACCAATGAAAAAGGGTGAACTGGTAAACCGTTTGAACCGGATACTGGCACCTGCAAAATTCACTATGAAGCATCACTGCATGTATCACTTTGGGTATTTCATAATCACCGTACAATGTTATTCCAGCTCCAAATGCAGTCGATGGGTCCAAGCGGCCATATTGGTGGGCCGGGTATGAGCGGTATGCAAAGCGGTCCACCTATGGGTCCTCCAAGTGGTTCACAAATGAGTGGAAGTGGTCCACTCGTTCCTGGTGGTCCACAGATGGTACAAGGTGGCGCCATTGGACCTGGACAAATGGGTCCAGGAATGCCTCCATCTGCCAACCAACAACTTACACAATTAGGTCAACCGCAAAATGGCCATCCACCTCCACAAGGTAACTTTTACTATTGATCAAAGGAAATCACTTGTAAGTGGTGTCTTGTTTAGGGTACGGGTATGGTCAACCGCAACCTAACGCCTGGTCTAATCAGTCTTCGAATGCAACCATGATAACAGGGTAGAATTT